TAATAATAATATAAATATAGAGATTTTGGCAATTAAAGCTACAAAAGTAGTAACTAATGTAGGAACTGCGTCATATACGTCTGGAGATCAGAAGTGGAATGGTGCAGCACTAACTTTAAATAAGAATCCCATTGTAAATATTATTAAAGCAAAGTTAATATAGTTAGGGTGATATCATAAACTAGTACTGTTTATATCACTTATAGAAGTAATAATATATAAGCTATCTAAAGAAGTACTTCCTGAGTTAGCATATAATAAACCTGTACCTAATAAGATAAAACAAGAGCTTAATCCTCCTAATAAGAAGTACATTAAACCACCTGTAGTAGCTAATTCAGAATTTCTATATACAGTAGATAATATGTATAATCCATAACTTTGTAATTCAATAGCTAAGAAAATAGAAACTAGGTCATTAGTAGACATTAATAGAACAGCTCCAGTAAGTATAAATAATATAATTAAAGGATATTCTATTATTTTAAATTGTTCTCCCATTTTATTAATAATTTTTGTATTATAGTATACAAATTTGTTAAATAATAAATTACCTAAAGTAGAGCTTTCTGCTACTCAAACTTTTCTAGGGTAGAAACTAGTAAGTGTTAATATTAGTATACATACTACATAAGCAAATATATGGAATATTTGTGTAATATTTGTCATTAATAATAATCCTCCGTGTAATCCTAGACCTTTAGTAACTACAGCTAAAGAGGCAAAATCATTTAATATACAATAAGCTAATATTATTATTGCAACTCTATTATATAGAATTGATATATCCCGTCTTAAATTTACGGAGTTAGATAATAATAAACTAAGTGTTGAAAAAAATATCACTGTGTAATTTGTAAAATAAATAAAGGGGAGTTAACCCCTAGCCTTGGAAGAGAATTGAACTCTTATTACCAATGTATGAGATTGGAGTTTTAACCAATTAAACTACCGGGGCTTAAAAAGGGTGAAAATCTGGATTTGAACCAGAGACCTTCTATGCCACAAATAGACGTTCTACCGACTGAACTATATTCACCTTTAGATTATTATCTCGAGGTGATTCGAACACCTATAGACGAATACCAAAAATTCGGGACTTACCTATTAGTCAACGAGATAT